CTCACGAGTTGCACCAGACCTCTTTCTTTGTGGCCGTTTTTCTCTTCAATCATGTGCTGCGCCACACAGGCATATGGAAAGTGCAAGAGTCACTGCGGAAGATCGAAAAAAATTCAGTAAGCGCCGTTGTTGCAAAAGCGCAGGCATATTCTAGTGTATTTTATTTTGTCCGCTGAATCTTGAGAAGAGTCTAAATTAAAAGAAGGCGCTGCACGGGGTCCAGAAGGGACCCAGTATGGGGTTCAGGAGGGGGTGAAGGGGGTCCATGTTTTGCACCCTCCTCCGTGCAACCTTTTGCCAATAGAATGCGATTTTATTTCTACTAGTGAAAATTCGACTGAGTCGTGTCTTTTTGTTACCATGATAGCTTGAGAATGGAGATTTTTTTTATCATGTAATAGGCAACAACTTCCAGGCGTGTGGCAAAGTACATAAAAAAGAAAACTTGGGAAAAATTATTTACAAAATTATTACAAAATGAACAAATTTCACATGAAAGGTGTTGAGGAGTGAATATAACGAGGTAAGCATACAGCTACATCAATAAACGCTGTGATATGACATAGTCCCATCGTTACGACACCAGGAAAAGAAGTTTTCTCAAACGTCGGATTCAAATAAATCCCGGGTCTACGAGACCAAGTCTTCAATATACAATCGAAGTGTTTACTCGACGAAATGCAGCACCTAATACTTAAACTGTGTAAAATTATGGGGAATAGTTTCTGTACCCTCATCCGGGGGTTACTCCCTTATATGGGCTATATAGGTATGTGCGGCCCCAAAGGGTATGGTTTTTCAGCCGTTTTGGTCATAAATAGGGTAKGGTTTTAGCACTCTCGTCTTGAATTCTCTAGTCTCATCATTATCGATAAGACCATCAACAAAAGCCCTTCATAAATCACGTTTAGGGCACCTTTGCCAGCCGCAAAGATCATCAATAGGGTACAGTCGAACGTCGATTAGCCGTACCTCGATTATCCGGACTTTTTCTCTAGTCCCAATTTTGTCATGAATATTTAATAGTCATGATCAAGATCCGTAGCAATATTCTTTTCAAAACTATAGCATTGAAAAGTGCAGTCAAAGGCGAGTTTGTTTTGCTTTTAAAGAGCAAAAGCAGCGCTCGCACGCGTCGTAACTAATGAAGAACACTCAAATGAGTTCTGATTGGCTCAGAGTTGAGTGGTTCAAGATATACAGTAGACCATATTATTTTCCAAACGATTTGTAACAGTGTTGTTTCACGATTAAATGTTGCTTTATTGAAACAGTTTTGTTCTTCATTAATATTCATATTTTCGATTATCCGGACCCTCGATTATCCGGACTATTTCGTCTAGTTCCAACGAGTCCGGATAATCGAGGTTCGCCTGTATCGACCTTTTGGTCAGGTCATAAATAGGGTAGGGAAAATCGCAGATTTTGATCGTAAATAGGGTAAGGGCTTTGGGAAGCAGGCCGCACACCCCCACCCGATTTTCCTGGGAGTACACTCTCCCTCCCCCACCCCCGCCAACTCGCCCCCACTTATTGCGACTCATTGATTTTGTACGGTATGGTCTTCGTGTTCCCAAGTTTGATCTAAATAGAAAATCGCAAGCTAATTACGTCGTTGCCTTCTTCTGGCACCCGAGTCGATTGCAGCAGAATTGCCGGCGAATTTAATCGCTAATATCTGACATGGCAGCCATTTCAGATGCTAATTTCCTCTGCTTGGAAGAGCTTTTTTCATATTCTTGTACGACATATAAACCGATGAATTACGTGTTTAGTTTCAAAATAACCACGCTGGGCTCGCCTCGCCGAGCAGGCCTGTTCAAACGCTAATCCGTTAAATTTGCTCCTTTTCCGCCCTTTTCCCCATTTATCCGCCGATTCGGTTTATAAGCTGATGAATGTTTCACGGCAGACTTCGCTTTCTCCAACGTTATATTTCCTGTAAATGTAAACAATGCCCCTTTCCCGGGAGGGTTCCTGTAGCCTTCTTTGTCACTTGTTACGCAGGCTACTGGGCAGTTCTAAGTTCTGTTTCATTCGTTGGCGGCGTGGCCACTTTTTTAACCGCTTCAGTGAGGTGCGAAAACTGTGAATTTCCTTCGACGACAAAAACTCCCGGGGAGGGGTGGGTTACTCCCTTATATGGGCTATATAGGTATGTGCGGTCCCAAAGGGTATGGTTTTTCAGCCATTTTGGTCATAAATAGAGTATCGATTTTAGATTATTTTGGCTATTTTGGTCATAAATAGGGTATGGATTTTGCACTCTAGCTTTGATATGAGTATGTTTTTAAGAGGCCACTTTTTCATCATTATCGAAAGAAACTTAACAAAAGCCCTTCACATATTATGTTTACGGTAATTTAACATTGGTCTGAACTAGGGAACTTACTATAACGCAGGTCTGAAACAGGGTTTTGATTTAATGGTCAGGTCATAAATAGGGTATCGAACATTTGGTCGGGTCATAAAGAGGGTAGGGAATATCGCAGATTTTGGTCATAAATAGAGTAAGGGTTGTGGAAAGCGGGCCGTACACCCCCATCAAACTTTTCTGGGAGTATCCCCCCCCCC